AAGTTTTGTAGAGCGTTTGTGATATAGCATTGGAATATCATCGACACGCTCTTCTGGTCTTTTTCATATCAAAGAAAGTGGAAACGCGTATCTCCGGACCCTTTTCTATTCACTGTCCACTATTTGATCTTATACCCTCCCAGTTTTTTTGGTCCTTCATCTTTTAAGCGGGTCCTGACATCCGGGCGATGCCTTTGCGATTCAACAGCACTCACTGATACATGTGAATACAACTTTTCCGTACCTACTATTACCTACATTATATTATTTATATTTATTTTTATTTTTATTTTTTCTTCCTCTGCCTTGCTTCATATTACGGTGAATTTTTCTAGTTTCTCTGTTATGTACCAGACACACTTTATTTACCGTTCGCTAAGCCTAAAGTGTGATCACTACTTTTTATATTTTTTATCATGCATGCATGATATCAGTGGGGTTCAACCCCATATTGTAAATATAAAGTATATTAAATATAAATATTCTATTTTAAGATAAATTTTTTTCATATTTATTCTGAAATAACGATAAAGTGAATTTTAAGGTTTGATTTCTTGTTTGCAGTCAGCTTGCTGTAGAAAAAAAAAATATTAAAATTTAGCATTTTGCATCGCAACCAGCCTTATCTATATTATTAAGAGAAGACGCAAAATTTTGTGGTCAGTATATTTATATGATATAATGGGTTTTTATGGTTAAATTTGGTATCGTTGGAAAAGTCTTGACCTAGAGTTGTGCTTTTCTATGGTTTCATATCATTCTCATCAATAGTCAATTTATGATGATAAGTATTTAGGCTGCATTCGAAAATGCTTTATCTCGAGATACGTATAATTAAGAAATAACCTTGTATCTTGTGAACTATTGACATTTTTAAAGATATAAGCTCATTCCGACATTACACTCATCAAGATCTTTCATTTGAGTACCCACATCAATTTTTCATATATTTATATATATTATATATATATGTATATATGAAAAATATATCAAAATTCATGTGGGTACTCAAATGAAAGCTCTCGATGATTGTAACATCGGGATGAGCTTATATCGTTAAAAACATCAATAGTTAACAAAGTACAGTGCAATTTAATATAATGAAGAAACGACCTTGTATCTTGGGAACTATTGACATTTTTAAAGATATAAGCTCATCCCGATGTTTCACTCATCAACACCTTTCATTTGAGTACCCACATCAATTTTGTCATATATTTTTCATATAATATATATAAATATATGAAAAATTAAT